AGAGAGCGAGAGAGCGAGAGAGAGAGCGGGAGAGAGAGAGAGAGAGAGAGAGACACAGAGAGGGACCGGGAAGAGAGGGAGGGAAACAATCCTGGATGTCATCCACTTGGGTCTCCTGGAGGTCATCCCGACAGGTCTCCTGGATGTCATTCGGTCGGGTCTCCTGACAGAACATGTCAATTTGTTGTTTTCGCCGTATGGATTTGCTAGGTGTCCTGTTCCGTAGGCTGCAATGCCTTCTTGAACGGTGGCTCCTTATGGGATTGTGGGACACAATACAAACACTGATGCTGTGGGTAATTCGAGGAGCAGACGGTAGGTTCGGCAGTGGTAGGCTGCAATGCCTTCTTCAACGGTGACTCCTTATGGGATGGTGGGCACAACACAAACACTGATGCTGTGGGTAATTCGAGGAGCAGACGGTAGGTTCGGCAGGGGCAGGCTCCGGTGCCTGGCGGAGACAGAAGCGAACTGAGGCACACAAAACTTGATTTAGAACACCCATGTGGCTTGAATCAAGATCGGAGCCTGGCTGTTTTTCGATCGGGGCTCCTCATGATTTAATATCGCACATGATGGGATCGTATTGCCGGCAACAATCATTGAGGCCGCCACTTCAGTGGCCCGCAACGTATCCGGGCATGGCTCCTCAAGGGCTCTTTGAAGCAGAATTAGAGGATGCAGTCGAAGAGCTTAGCAGCAGACGGTAGGTCCGGGGAGGGAAGACTTCGCTGCCTGCAACAGACACAGAGGAAGAGATAGAGAGGGAAAGAGAGACACAGAGGGAAATAGCACCATGCACGAATCAACTAGCAACCCCAACAGAACCCGGCCTCCTTATCCAGTCCGGTCTCCTGATGAACATATGTCCGGAATGCATTCGGTTTGCACCACGAATATGGGGGCCTTCAGAAGTCCAGGCTGCTTTGGATCGTCGCATGGTTCCTTGAAAGCTCAAGCAAAAGAAGTGAATAAAGAATGGGGCACCCAAGGCAGGCACCCTTTTGACAACCGAGCCCATACCCAGCTGTCGGCGTAGATCCTGGTACATATATAGGATCATCATTTACGACAATGGAAGTTACATCTTCTATCACATGTACCGACATGACACTGTCCTGCACCCTCTGCTGCAATGCAATCTCGTCGTCCGGCAATGCTTGCTCTTGCTTAACGAAAGCAGCAAACATGTTTGTCGTGCCAGCAGCCAGAGAGGACCCAGACCAAGCTTTGCTAAGAAAGGTTTTGGGCTCCCGTTGCATCTCCGCACTTGGGCCCCTTCAAAAGCCTGCAGATCCGGACAACGTGGACACCGAGAGCGATAAGTTGCTGCCTGCTGCCTGGTGTAGAATTACGGTATAGGGTTTACGATATTTTATGGCCTTTCTACGGCTTTCCTACGCTTTTCCTACGCTTTTTTATGGCCTTTTGCGCGTAGGCTTTTTGGGTTTTTTTGGTCTTTCGGCCTGTTGTTTTATGGCCTTTGGGGGCGGCCCGGAAATCTATGGTCTTCTGGGCTGGGTTTTTATGGCCGTTTGGGTTGGCCAGGATAATTACGGGTAATTATGCTCTTTCCCTGTTGCCAATCTACGCTTTATGTTGGGAATTTACGCTCTTTTGGGCTTCGGGATCCGGGTTTGCTAGAAATTTATGGTCTTTTCGATGTTCGGGGGTGGTTTTTCGGTTTCCGGCCGTTGCAAAGGTTTACGCTCTTTTGGGCTATTTTACGGTTTTAGAGGGGCAATCCTGAAAAAAACACGCTAGGAATAATATATTTTACTGAACCCAGAAACACGGGCCTTGAAAACAGGAATCTATTTGGCCCAGATTGCATATCTTTATAAGCAAAGGCCCCAGAAACCAGCCCGAAGCCCCCAAAGAAGAACCAAAGGACAACAGACAAGAAGTCGCATCCTTCGTTTTGCATCAAGCATGGAGCAGAATCCCACCCATCCTGACAAAACCCTGCTTCTGCTATGCACAAACGGATAAGATGCTTTCTGTACTGCAGCATCACTGCATGCGCTCCACGAAGGCTACAACATCTTTGAATGCAGTCATGAGAACTGACATGTGCCAGTGACAAGCACTAACAGCAGGGCACCAAAGAATAGTAGCAGTAGAATCCCAGGCATCGAGAGCCTGCGTAATCTCCCTGCGAATCATAGCCGGCCCACGAAGTAGGATTCTTTGGGCCATGGGTTCATAGCGCTCGTTTGGATAGGTTGGAAGCCCCATCTCGATGATTTGCAGTTCCTCGCCACCCTTCAAACCACCAGACTCCACACAGCACCTGACTGTTGTCAAAACATCAGCCAACACTTTAGCAGAGTCCAAGCCACCCTCAGCATAGATGGGGAGAACTGAGAGCAAAGCCTGGACTCCGTGCCGAATGGATTCCAGGGGCCCCGTCACCAAATCGAATTGTTCATCTTGGGTCCGGGTGGACAGGTGCCTCAAAATCTCTTTGGCCCAGAAGACTTTTTCTGGACGAGTGTCGATCATTGCGGGAACACGAGATGTCTACGGAAGTCCAGCTTGCACCTGTATAGAGAAATCGCTGCGACCACTGGCTGTCATGAAGAAAGTGCCATGTTTGGTATGTACATGTACATGAATGCATGCTCTTGAATGCACACTCAGAAACTTGAACGGCCTTTGTCTCGGTCATACGGAATCACACAGCTGTCTGCTCTACAGCCTCGTAGGAAGCACTGCTCTCCATTCCTCCGGAATACGCAGTGCTTTGCATCCCCGTAGGTAATGCGCGACTGCGATCAAATCGGCATCCTCACATTTATCGCTGTCATCCATTGCTTGGAAAAGCATTACAGCTTCGTTTGGCTTCGCTCCTACACCGCTTTCAGCTTTAGGTAGGACAGACTCGCCCAGCTGCATAACCTCGAATGCTCTCCTCGCAAATCGACGAGTGTAGATCCTTGGATAAGGCTCTATCTATAGTCTGGCATACACGGAGACCTGAGTACAACATTACCGGAAAGACCAAAATTCGCCGAGAATCCCAGTGTCTGTCAAATTCCGATTGCCCTCGAAGCAATGTTTCCCCTTGTCGTTCACGTAGCGCTTTGTAGTCTTCGCAAGAGGATCTTGTATGCTGCGTTGCAGCTTTCTACTCGTGAAGAAAAGACTAATGACCCTCGAGTTGCTCCAAAGGCTGCTGCGCTTTGGTGTTCTGGAGCCGAACGAAGCCATCCACAGATCCAGACGATAAATCTCGGCTGCAGAAGAGAAGGGAGGTTAGGGTAGGGTTTTGTAGGGTGTATAGAGGGTTTAGGGCTTTTTGGGTTTATAGGGCTTATAGGGTTTGGGATTGCTGTTGGTAGGGGTTGTGGTTGTGGTCGTGGTGGTGGCGAGGCTGCTGCTGGTGATGGCATTGGTGTATAGCATATAATAGTAGTATAGTAGTAGTACGAAGCAGTAGAAATGTAGTAGTAGCAGGAGCAGCAGCAGTAGCAGTAGCAGATTTTAGGGATAATGGGTTGTCAAGGCCAAGGAAGGGAGGTTGTGGTGGTGGTAGTAGTGAAGTATAGTATAGTAATATAGTAGTTGTATAGTAGTATAATTGTAGTAGTAGCCGTAAAGATCTTTATAGCAGTAAATATAAAATAATATAGTAATAGCAGTATGATCGGGGTATTGTAGCAGTAGGCCGGGGTTTCGAGATTTTGGGGGTATAGTTTTGTCCGTCCAAGGAGTTTTCTGCGTAAACATAGGTTTGTTGCATATCCCAGGACACTCTATGGTATAGTGGTTTTCGGGGTTTTCAGGATTCTGAAAGGGATGGTCTTCGCGCTTTCGGCTTGGGCTTCGGGTGGTGCGAACTTACTAAATCACCTGAACAACCATCCAAAAAAGTCTTCCCCAAACCCTTCCTAATACCTGCATGAGCCAAATCTATCTGAAGTAGGGACTTTATAAGATATTACATCTTCTAGGAAGCAACCTTGAAACCCCCAAGCCCCCAAGCTTCAGGAATGCCAATGGCACAAGTTACCTGTAGTTTGTCTCGAAGCCATAGGAAGCGTTCACTTTGCAAAAGCAAGGATGTTCTGGGCTGCTCGATCACCCACCATTGACCCAAAGCTGCAGCCAGAAAGCATAGCAAGGCTGACCTGACCCCAACAGCATGGACCCCAAAGTATTACTTGATATGAGTCACGGATTTTATTCAAGCCGGGCCTTGCGGCCATGAGGTTCGACAGTTTCACTTTTTCGTAGCCTTCATAGCCTTCGGGATTAGAATAGGATCTCCTTGTAGACGGGCGGGATATAGAAACCCATGAGCTGCAAAGAACCCCAAGCCAGATACAGCTATTCGGTCGGCCACACAGAACAGCTGCACAGAAAGTCCTTGGTTCCGACAGTGCTAGACTGGGATTCTTGAACATAGCTCCATACAGAGATATATGTAACCCAGACTAATAAGTTTCGATGCAAGCCACCCGAATCCCGAAGATTGGCATATATCCATGCCCCGGCCATATCTCAAATCGCAAGCGACAACTTCCTTACCCTCATAGTAGAACTCCTTGGAGAGGGTTGCGGATCCACTGAAGAGCTCGGCAAGATCGATGGCCTGGCGAATGTGTGGGGTTATATATCGCTTAAGGAGCCTAGGACGGGCTTATCTAGGAGGTGTGACAGACGTTGGGGTAGAACCCGGGTTTACTTGGGTCCAGGGTTCCAGGCTTTAGTGCAGCATGCCTGTGTGTGTGTGTATGTGTGATGTAAAATATGTATATTAGGGTTTAGGGTTTATCGGGTTTAGGGTTTAGTGCAGCATGCCTCTGTGCGTGTGTATGTGTGATGTATTATATATATATATATATTAGGGTTTATATAGGGTTTAGGGTTTAGGGTTCAGGGTTTAGTATATATAATATGGTGTATGAGGTTTTTATTGGCAGCTATTACAAGCCTAACTGCATTTTTCAGGTGCCAGGGGTCTAGTGCACTCTATATATATAGAAATAATCACATTACAAGGGTCTGCTAAATCTCGTGTCTTGTATAAGACATTAAAATATAAAAATCCCAAACCATCAATCCGTCTATGGGTACCCCTGATACTTGTAAGCTAGATCGGTCCCTGAAGGTTGGGGTCCAATCGTGGCACAAACTGTGCAATGTACCCAAGAGCATCCACACAAACTACCTGCGTAATATTGTTTGTTCCTACTATAAATAATTTGGGTCCCTTGGAAGCTATAGCAATGAGTTTCATGGATATGTGTCATGATGAAGGATTTAGTTAAGGCGATCCAGGCTACAAAACAAATCAAACCCTATCCTATTAGTCGAACTCAAAAAACACCAGTAATTCAGTAGCAAGACAGTATAGACCCCAAGCCCATGTTTATATAAGAACTATACAGAAACCTCAACCCAAATAGAAGGCCACCACTCCTTGCCAAAGTCAATGCTGTCATTCCACAGCAGCAGCAAAATGCACAGGACGAAAACCTGTGGCAGAGAGGAGATCCCCAATCCATAAGAGGCCACTAGGAAAGTATATTTTTTGGATTGTATACCCCACAGTGTACAGACCCAAGCCTAACCACAGTGTACAGACCCAAGCCTAATGCAGTGAGAAGTACTTTGTGTGTTAAATTGGGCTAGACTGATCAACCCCAGAAACCTTGTTCTGCAACCAAGGTTTTGGACTTTTAGGGCTGAGGGTAATATATATTATAGAGTTTAGGGTTTATAGGGTTTAGGGATTTAGGGTTTATGGTTTGGGGTATATATGGGCTTATAGGCCAAGAAATGTAGTATAGTAATATGAACCCTATATGTGACAGCCGAGAAGACCTTGGGTGATCCGAGGCGAATCAAGCTGATCGCCACATCTTCGAAACTGCGCTTGGCCATTGGAAGAGCAGCAGCAGCGGAGGCAAGCTGAGCTAGAATTTACCAACGGCATCGAACAATGTTGGACCATCTGAAACTCCTTGCTATCAGTAGTGTAGCCCATGACTCGAGAAGCCCAGCCCTCGGACCAGTTGCGGCATGACTGTCACTCGCTGTTGCAAACGACAATTCAAAGACATCACGAACTCTTCTCTGCAAGCGGTACATAAACTAGCGAGGCTGACCACTCTTTGCGCTCTGGCGCTCTGAAGCAGCTGCACTGAGTAAGCGAGTCCGGGCTTTCGTCCGCCGGAAGAAGTTCTTGACCTGGCCACAGGGAGTGTCGTTTATGTGGAATCTAGAAGCAAGCTCAGCCAAAAGACAGATAATGCAAAGGCTTCAATCAGCACTATTGGTGTCGACTCGGGCAAGAATTATTTTCCTTCCACACAGTATCCTTAGCCGTGGTCGTGGACTCAGAAGAGAGACCGCACAGCTGTGACGAATTGCATAGACAGCCAGCTTGCAATCTGAAAGCATGCAGACGCTAGCATTGAAGCCGAAGCACCCCTGGCGAGCCCTTAAAGCTCTTCCCCGGTAGCGCACTCATACCACCAGAAAGCATGGACCCCAACTGGCCCGTTGCAGCATCATCCTATGGATGCAAAGCGAGCAGCCCAAAAAAGCATGTCCACACGATGAAACCATTGTGCACTTAAGTTCCCATTGTAGCTGCGATACAACTAGGACGACTGAAGGACCCAGGCTCAGGCTTGCTCGAACGTCTCTAGAAACTTGGAGGCTGCCAAAGAGCAGCTTTTGTACATCTGAACTCTCGAAGAAACATTCTCGTCGTTCATGGTGAACTGCTGTGCGAAGTCATAGAAGTCGGACTGCCAAGGGCCGCAGAAGGTTTCGGGTTTTGGGTTTAGGGATACGGTTTAGGGTTTATGAGTTTATAATAGGGAAAGGTGGTGGATACCACCCTGTATGAAACCTTTTCTAGTTTATGTACCTGTCCATTAGCAGAAAACGGGTATAACAGTATAGGAAGAGAGTATTATATCGCGATTTAAGCCGGCATCAGAATACGTCAGTGGTCATTGCGATTGGTGTTCCAGAATGCAACAAAACAAAACTTAGATATAGATTTTGTAGGTCTGTAAGACTGAACATAAGGTAAGCTATATATGCAGATAATCCCCTTTGATCCAATATTAGGTTAATCGGTTCAATGAACAAAATAACACCCCCCCCCAAAGGGTCTGTAAGACTGAACATGAGGTAAGCTATATATAACAATATGCAGATAATCCCCTTTGATCCAATATTAGGTTAATCGGTTCAATGAACAAAATAACACCCCCCCCCAAAGCGTCTGTAAGACTGAACATAAGGTAAGCTATATAGAACAATATGCAGATAATCCCCTTTGATCCAATATTAGGTTAATCGGTTCAATGAACAAAATAACAACCCCCCCCCCCCAAAGGGTCTGTAAGACTGAACATAAGGTAAGCTATAACAATATGCAGATAATCCCCTTTGATCCAATATTAGGTTAATCGGTTCAATGAACAACATAACACCCCCCCCCCCCCAAAGTAGTTGCCCAACAAACCCATCCGGCCTGAGCGGCCGATTTTGTGCCCGGGGGTAGGTGGGCCATGATCACATTCTTGAATGCACAAACACATCCCTCCCAGAGCTTCTGGGTGTAGTTGTCGGACTCGGGGCGGTAGCGGCGAGCAAAGGTAAGGGGCCACTCAAAGCCACTGAGGGTCGTCACTGGCTGCCGCTTGGGCTTCGGCTGCGAAGCCTGGGCAACCGATCTCTTGCCATGAACCCTAGAAGTAGGAGCAGCGTCATTATCAGCTGCCGCATCTCCCGTTTTGGCTCTCTTGCCTTTGCGCTTCACCGTCTCGGTCTCCGGATTCTCGCACTGATCCTTCTTGCGTCGCCCACCTTTGCTCTTCACCGTCTCGGTCTCCGCGGGACACTCTTGCTGATCCTTCTTGGGTCGCCCACCTTTGTTCTTGCCCGTCTCGGTCTCCGGACACTCTTGCTGATCCTTCTTGGGTCGCCCACCTTTGGTCTTCACCGTCTCGGTCTCCGGACACTCTTGCTCATCCTTCTTGGGTCGCCCACCTTTGGTCTTCACCGTCTCGGTCTCCGGACACTCTTGCCGATCCTTCTTGGGTCGCCCACCCTTCTTGTTCTTGCCCGTCTCGGTCTCCGGAGACTCTTGCTCATCCTTCTCGGCTCGCCAAGCTTTTTTCTTCTTCGGCACGGAGGGCTCGGAAGCCGTAGCAACCATGACCCCAGCCTTGTCGTCCTTCTTATCGGCATCTTCATCCTCGTCTGCATCCGGAGTGGAAATTGCCGCATTGCCGCGGCCTCTACCACGGCCTCTGCCACGGCCTCTCCCACGATTCGATCCAGCAGCCTTTGCAACAGCCGTTTGAGCCTTCTTAGCCTGGGCTTCGTCCTCCTTGGCGCCCTTAACTTCAAGCTGCTCCTCACGAGTGGGATACGTCTTTAGCGGCGTGATGTCCGCCACAACCACACCTCTGGGACTCGGGGTCTCCGTCTCGGCTGGCGGCACTGCAGACAGTGCAACCGGCGACTTGCTGTCCTGCGGACTCAGGACCAAAGTCTTTTGCTCAGCAAACGTCTTGGCCGGAGGCGATGGCACAGGCTGGTCCAAAGTAGACAAAACATCTTGCACCATCTGCGTGTTAAGCTCAAAGACCTGTGTCTCCAAGGCATCCGGATTTGGCGGGGAAGTCGGAAACAACACAATAGGTTTGACAGGAGATGAAGGCTTTGCCTCATCATCTGAATCCACACTGATCGGTCCTCCGAAGCTGCACAATTATGTGTGACAAATGACCCTTTAAAGACATGATCGGCTGTGTCAGTCTCAGAACTCCTTGTGGCAGGCTCTTAGCAAACTGCTTTGCAGCACGCTTCCGCTCTATGCCCATCCTCGAATGCTGTATGGTGATCAGACTATATATGGCATCAATCAATTAATCTAAACTTGACTGTGACGCACAGCCAAGCTGCAAGCGCTTGGCCTCCAGCTTCAGCTCAGCAATTCTGAGTTGCGCTTCCAAGTCTTCCTTGGGTACTGGCCGATCTTGCACCACAGCCTTCGCCTTCTCGTGATCCTCGGTCTCCATTGGGGCCCCGTCCTGTGGCACCTCGTTGGCTGGGGCCCCGTCCTGTGGCACGTCGTTGGCCGGGGCCGGAAGTGCGACATCTGCTACCGTGCCCGCTGGCTCCTCGCTTACGGCTGCAGGCTCTACTGGGGGTACTTCCAAAGTCTCGGTCGGTGCTGCCGGTGCAGAAGCACGGCACTGATCGGAGTCCGCATCCAGGGCTCCATCTGGATCATCAATGTCATCATCGTCCCCTCGGGCTCTGAGAGCCCGCGCTATGCGATCACCAACAGCCTGAACGAAACAATAAAACTCCAATTAGCAAACTCTACACAGCACCCACACTATTTTAATAAGCTCTCTTCAGCAAGGCTTCAGCTTTGAGAGTCTTGTAGGCCCGCTCGAACTCAGCAACCAATGCACGAATCAGTCTGTCCTCACGCATGCACAGACAAACGAAGCGAGGATTGGAAACCAACTACACCCCCGAACCACATCAAAAAACACACACATTCTGGACACTATCGAGATACGCGAGGTGTCTGACCCCTCATCCATTTGCGCTTCAAAAAGCTCAGCATGCGTTTCAAGCCCCAGCCGTCCGAATAAGCCACCGTACCCAAAGACATGGCTTCCGGATATCCAGAGTTGCTGTGAAACTCCAGTGATGCTGCTTGAAGCAGGTAGACTTTGGCCACAAAAATGCAGCCGACGTCACCCATAACTTTCAGGACGATTTTCAACACCTCGCCATTCAACTTGCAACACTGAATGTTGCCAATCACGACATTCGCGATCTCCATGCCCGGGTTGCTGCACCCCACGCAACAGAGTGTGGCCGTTCAAACTACGCTCACGAAAGGCACGGTTGTTCTCCCAGAGGAGAGGCAACTGTGCCACCCACTGGAAGTCCCTCGCTTGAAACGAGCTGCTCGCTGCAGCCATTGCAATCCTTTTCCGAAGACAACACTTCTTCGAACAAAAAAATTCTGCCGGTTTTGGAATGCAAAGTGCCATACATGCGCACAGCAACAACCTGCTATCAAGATTGATTCGACTCCCAAGTGCAAAAAATCGTGCCTTGTCCACATTCCAGCTCGTCGGACCAGCAGCCGCAGCCCTGGCAACGGAAGGGATCACCAGGAGACTAAATTACCACATAACACAAAGGACAGCTGAAATCAGCCGGCTGCACATAGGAAATCGTCTCAGAAGCCATCATCCATGCCAGCGACTGCTCACCCTGCCATACACAAAAGAACAGTTGCCGTGATTCCTCATTGAAAGCCCAAAATCGCAACCCAATCTGGCCAGGCCTCATACGACCAAGAAGCTAAAAGTCGAAGCCCCCGCCCTGGTATGTAGGACTGGCACCCTTATGGTTCCGGGGGTTCGCAGGCCTCTATAACCCAATCTAGCCAGGAAGACCAGCAGGAAGTTCAGGGAGCCATGAGCAACCGAGGTTTCACTAGTTTGCACAATTATGTTGATGGCATCTTACAGAATCTCACTACTGTGTATTATCTTCAAGAAACAGATCTGTTATTTCGTATCTTTGGCAAGTATTTGCTGCTGAACAGGACTATATAGGCTAGAACCCCTACATTATTGTTGTTGCAGCACATTTCGAGCTGCCCTGGGAGCCATCAGCACCACAGCTTTGTCCTCAAGGCTCATTATGGGGTTTAGGGTTTCATCCTGAATGGGCCTAAACACGGTTACGCTCATTTACGCTCCTTTTCTCGGGAATAGGATATTTACGCACCAATTCTAAAGGGCCAAAAAAAAGACATACCTTCGATGTCACAGGAAGGTAGCACGTGCGTTTGCCGCCGCGCGGG